CCATTAATCGAGTCAGCGCTGACTAGTCTAATGGTGTAACTTTATCTTAGAAAATGGGTCTCTGAGCAACTTTCTTGTCTATCGGCCACATGCAACGGCGTCGAAGGGGTTCATTTTCGTGCCTCACAAGCAAACAGCTATTCTCGTAAATACTCACAATGTCTTTAGGTTGGAGGGGTTCCTAACGAGGTCGACAGGAACCGACGTCAGCTCTCGGAAGTACACGACGAACCTAAGGGGGTAGCAGCACTGAATGGTTGGTGTTGTCGATGGCAAATGCACGCTCATCTTCCCGCGGAATTAAAGACACATGATGTTAAGATGGCGGAATCACCCACCTGCCAATATTTTTCTGGTGGCTAGTCAGTGCCTGCGGTGGGGTCTTACAGGGTTGTTATGGTGTAGACTACTGCATGATAATCACCTTAATCGCATATATGTCAGGTAAGTCACCAACCACACCCCGTGACTTTCTACGTTCGCTCGTGCGGTCTTTCGTAGACTCGAAACCCAAAGCACATGTTGTGTGTCTAGATGATTCGTTCAGGCAATCTCGGTAGAGATCCGAGTTGATTTGTCGACATTGCTGTGCCTAGGCGATGGAAGTCAGTCTACCGCAATCATTTTTATCTTTGCGGGGAACAATAGTTGTTTATTGCCTCGTTTCCGAGGCGAATGTGATGAACTGTAGCATACGTCGAGCTCGTTCAGTTTCGAGCCCCCTCGTAGATTGAGGATTGCTGTGTTCGAGAAAACTGCACAGAAAATAAATTTTGCGCCGAGTTGAATAACGACGCCTGCCTCCAAAAGGGGAATAACTGCCATGTAGTCGAAGAAAGTTCGGCTCTGTTGACGAGCAGGCTATGTCAGAAAAACATACAAAGATTGTAGCGAACCAGGAGAGGCCATCGAAGAGGCCCTCTGGGATCGTCTGCGCCACTGTGCCGGCCAGCACTCTGATGAATTGGCAAAGTGACATTCATGCGGTACATATACCCACACAGCGGCAACAACGCGAGTGAACCCTCCCACAAGGGGCGCGCCGGTTTGGTTTCCTGCAGATCAATATGAAACCGTCGGGACACCCCACTACGGCAGGCAGGAGCGAACAAGTAAAACACTCAGCACAGCAGAAGTGCACCAGGAAATATTCTGCACACCTACTGTAGGTACCCCCGTCCGGATGGCCTGGGGTTTGTCTTCTATCCCAAGTGAAAAATACAGACCGGAGAAATGTGCATACTGTTCTACGCTTTGATTTTCATTCGACCGCTCAGTATGGCGCATGTGTGTCGTGTTCCCTTACGTCGTGTACCCTCAAACACCGGGACAAAAACGTTTCGCTCGTTCGATTCGAGGCTAGAGGACATGTACCCTGAGAGTTATCGGTCAATCTACATGTAGACAACATTATCACGTCAATTTCGACCGAATGAGGTTATCCAATGGTTAGCGTGAGAGACACGGCGATACCGAAGTTAGAGGTATTAAACAGAGAATGGAAGTTGGCAGCAGCATTGACCTCTTGGGAAAAAGTGCAGCTATGAGACTACCCGAGTCGTGTTTCAAAGGATACCGGAACCAACTACAGGAAAGAGGAGGGTGTCAATGGCTCTATCTGAACAAGAAATGATTGGTGTGGAACACGCGAAGATCGTTCGGTTGTGTTTTCTCCTTGAAGCCAATCAAGGTTTGGTGGATGGGCGCACGCATTGTCTTGTTGCGATGCTTCCGAGTTCCGGAGTACTTACAGTCGATCCAAGTTCGGAAGATTGTTGAACAGTCCCACGGCAAACTGTTTCACGGTGAAGCCCACGATGCTGGTCCCGGGAGATGAAGGACAAAACAACCGACACGCGATGAATTGAGTGGCGCAATACCGGGTTTAGACTTGTCAAACCATAATCAACGCAGTTCACATGGTTATATGATCACTTTGGAAACCTCAGCTCTGGGGTCGCGGAGAACGCCGTGCATCCCTTGAATTTTTCCTCCACATGCGATGAACATCAACAACCTTCGCTTTGTCTTGTTTTCCTTTAGCTAAGGGGTTCGGCCCAACATATGAAAATCATGCTGTGGGAAATCGTTGCTCCGGACACTTCAGCACTTCCATGTTGGAGCCGGCCAATTTCCACACATATAGTCTAGACTTTTATCTCAATCCAGTGTGCACCCGAGTCATGCTTAGAAATGAACTCGGAAACATTATTGATCTCTTCGCGCGACCCTGCTGCGGTCATCCGCAGAAGCAGGCAGTGACATGGCGCCTGCGCTGGTGCCCCTGATTGCGTGACCGTGCAGAATGTTGTGATGGCAGGAACACCGCAGAAACGATGGCATATCCGACAACTCAAAAGGGGAGCTTGATGACCCAGGAATCAATCCCAACATAAATATACCTCGCGGTCGGCATGCTCGGCAAAGGAGAAAGTTCGACGAGGCCATCGCTCCCACTCGACAAGTGAGACCGTGAACAGACCAAGGTATATCAAGCGCAACGTATCAAAGAATGACGACAGCGACTGAAGACCTGGCGCTGTTGGTGGTGATATCGACCGAATTTAAGCACTCCGGGAGAATATCCCTGGACAACAATAAACGTTTGTCTCCTGCCGATGTCCCATACATCCTGGCATTGCGGCTGGCGAACGATACGCGTTCCGTGTTTCGCTCTCCCCAACGCGCGGGCTAGAAACCGACCAAGGTATTGATGCGATTCGAGATACAGCCTCACCATGCAAGTGTTAGTCTCCTGCCGATCTCCCTCACATCCTGGTGACGCTTCTTCGTCCCGCCGCGCTGCAGCAGGCTTGCAAGTCGGGCAGGTCGGCGTCCGCCAGATACGCACATGGCGGGCTAACGCCCGATTTCCCAAACGTCCTGCTTGTTTTACGAAAGTAGTAGTGTAGCACCCATGGTTTTGCTTGGGAGGAAGAGAGAGAGAGAGATAGGGAGAGAGAGGGAGAGAGAGGGAGAGGGCGAGAGAGAGAGAGCT